CCGAGTACTGAGACTCGTTCAAGTAAATTTGAATTTTACGTTTTCCATCCGCCATTTTGAATCTGCCATTTTGAATTTTGAAAATCTGGTGACGGATTTGTCATCAGCGAACCCAAATACCCCCTCAACAGGTATTTTCTTTGTAATGAACAAATTTTACATTTTTTATCCTACGTTTTGGCCGCTATATTGGATCAGCCATTTTGTATAGTAAAAATTAGCACACGGCATTCGATAGCACTTATTTTTTTAATGAATTTTAAGCCCTTACTCGTTTATTTTCGTTGAAACCAATTTTGGGTAGGCGGCCTCACCGGTTGACGGAGAATGACCCTAATATATTTTCTGAGCAACAAATTAACAACTAATTCTTATTGTTTTGTACAACTTTATTATTATATTTATACATATTGTCACGCTAACTTAATCTTCCTTTAGCGGAACATCTTTTTTTTTAAATTACAGAGCAACAAATTTTTTTTCTTTAGTAACTTTTTAGCAACACAAGAGCAACGAATTAATATATTAATTAAAATTGATCCTGCTCATTTTGTACCGCTAACTTATAAGACGTATACAGTAGATTTTACTGCTGGCAGTGAATTTTGACACGCAGAGACTGTCAATGTAGGCAGACAGGCAGACACGTCATCTCGCGACATTTTTGTTTATGGCATGGCTAACTTTAAGGTGCCCGGTTTTACATTTTCTGGCTAATTATTATTAACCAGAGGTTAGTCGACTCTTTGTCTCTTCTCGGATAACAACATAGAAAAAGATACAGAGTCGATTAACTTCTGGTTAATTGTTAACCATCAGTTAGTCGACTCTCTCTTTATATCTCAATCTTTCTTTATATTATTATATAAAAGGAGATAGAGAATTGATTAACCTCTGGTTAACAGTTAACAAAAAAATGAAACATCGGACCTAAGAGAGAGGTACATTAAAAGTTAAAAGTTACCGATAAAATGTAACTAAATTTAGTTGAAAGTTAACAATCTATAATGTAACTAAGTTAAGTTAAAATTATTCGACTTTTTAACTTAACTTTTATCTTTTTAACTAGACACTACCCAATCCTGGAAAAAGGTATAAAATGTCTCATGAGCTATTGATTTTTTATAAATATAATACATTTACACGCAACATAACTAGAAAAATTGTGTAAAAAAAGTGATATAACTCTATCTGACGAAATGGTGATAATCTTCATGTTATCTTTTAAAAATCGGTCCTGTTGTTTCAAAAATTGATTTTTACCATTAGGGTAAAGGCACCTAATATCGCCCAGAACGTAATATCGCTACTCGTGATATCTTGTGAACAAAGCGCCGATATCAATCGGCAATATATACAATTAGTAGCTAAACATGTGTAAGAAGACATATTGTAGTTACAACATTATAAAGATAACGTCTGACTCAGGAAACGCATTAAAGCAAATTTTGAATGCTGAAAAATTTAGCAGACAGTGCAAGTTCGACAGCCCATAATGAGAATGTAAGTTGAAACATTCTTTTAATGTATAAATATTTACTAGGAATACATAATTAGTGATATACTTAACTGTTTTTAACTGATTTCAACATGTATGTTTTTGTTACGATGTTTTTAGTGTTTAGATTAGGATGCACTCAATACCGCCCACCATATTATTACGGAGGTGTCCGTAATGGTGCGGTCCCATGGGCGCGGAACGTGCGCAATATGGAATCGGCGGAACGCTCGTGATTTGTTTATCCCTTTTTACGTGCATTCTGCCGATTTCAATCCGCAAGATTTTATTTTATCCGTAACGTACCTTAATCCGCGGACAGAATCAGTGAGTGTCTCACGTACCGCGTGAAACGCGATATCCAACAAGTGATCTCGCGAGTTTCACGGGAGATAGTCTTAAAAATTATAATGTTTGAAAATACCTACACGTACCTGATTGGTGTTTGGTTTTGTAATATTGGAATTTTCATCAAAAGAACCAGGAAAATTGTATACGCAAGGACACTAATTGTAAGAGCAAGAAGACACGCCAAATAACGGCGTCCCCGTAGAAGGGAAAACAAAAAGAAACAGCATCACTGAACTCGTGTCATGTTAGCTTGTATAGAAAGAACACAATTAAATGTCGAATATCCAGAAATAGAGTCGAAACGTTGTATTAAATAAATAAAGGAATATACCAGTTAGGTCGACTATAAGTTTCCCATTTTTATTTTTAATCATCACTGGTGACTATAAGGAAACTCTCTTTGTTAAATAGTAATAATTGCTTTTTGAAAATATTGTATGTGCTGTCAACTAAATACTTGAATTAGTTTTTTTTTATTTCCCCTTGGAGCAGAGATGTCTTCAATCCTTCTTCACATTATATGATGTAATAATCCTTTGTCCAGGCTAAATATCTGTATTCTTTTGATATTTAAATTTTAAAAAACGAACTTTAGACCATTCCTCTTCAATATGTTAAAAACTTCACGTTCAAATAAATCTCTTCTACTCAATTCATTTTTCAGTTTTTATGGAATTTTGTAGGTTGTGTATGGAATTAATGAAACGAGTGTGTGCGTGTAATTCCGATACGCATGAGTTGTATTTCTACTGTCCCATGCAGCTGAAAACGTGGAAGCGTAATTTTTGCCTGCCAATAATATACGCTATTCCGATAGTTATAAAGTAGAATCTATAGGAAAGATTCTTGTAATTTGCCAGCGCCAATTGCGCTTCCGCAAATTCCACTCCATGGGACATTAGAAAATATTTTTCGGCGGAACACATTTGGCGGATAGCCTGCGATTGGACGGACTTCGTTCCGCCAATTCCGTATTGCGCACGTTCTGCGTCCATGGGACCGCACCATAATAATATACGCCTAGGCGACATTATGTGCATGCATTTTTAAGAATAAAAAAAGGGTACAAATTGACTCGATGTAGAAATACTTCGAAATGGTGCGTTATATACATATAATAACAATTTTTGTTAAACGTAATCACAAATTTTTTGGACACCTACAAACGTTTATATGATGTAAAATAATAAAAGTATAGCTTCACGGGATAAACAATGATTTTATAAAAATTGATAAGGGAGGCGATATTGGGTGCCATTTTTTCAAACCCCCGATTTTGCTGTTTTTCTTTCCTTTCAATGTGGATTAACATTTTTTAGATTTTAGCCATTCTAACCTATTGCACGTGAAACAAATGTTTTCTCTTTCATTTGATAATACATTGAATAATCTGATGAGACTAATTATAAGTGGAAAATGTAAGGAAAAAAGAAAGATCGTATAAATACCTGGTATATTAAACCTTTCACTTTTCTTAAAATATGGCAGAACGTCAGCGTAGGACCAGCCTACGTTGCCCAAGCTAGCCCATTTGTCGTAGTCAAATCTGTTGCCACGTGTATGGATCATATAGTTTAAGACACTCGTACCACCCAAGGCTCTACCTCGTGGCCAGGCACACTGCCGATTTTTCATCCCCAGGCAGGCATTCTTCTGAGGCTCCACGTTGTAACCCCAATTGTAATTAGTTAATTGAAAAATACCAACTAATATCGGAACCTGATTCAATAAATTTGGTGCGTATCCCGCTTCTAGTAATAAAATTCTCCACTTTTTGTTCTCCGATAAACGATTGGCTAACACGGATCCACCTGATCCAGCTCCTACGACGATAAAGTCATACCCGGTGTCGCTTGTAAATCCATACTCTTTCCCATATGAATGGACATCGGCGTTCTTCACGAAGTTTAGGAAACTATGAGCTTTGCCAATCGTTATGATAATGATGAATGTCCACAGAATTCTCATATTCTACAAAGTTCGGTAAAACTATAATTTTAAACACATCTTACACACAACGTACACACAATTCATGCAGGTCGCGTCCATATGTATAATAATAATAATCACGACCGCCTAAAGATACAATTTATATAACAAATTTTAGTCGACCTTATCTGACATGTGTTTAATGTATTTTAAAATTTGGGATATACAGGCGACGTTTCGACCATCTCGGTTCTGGTCCTTCTCAAGCCGTTACTAAAATACAATATTATTTGAATGAACATTATATATAGAGTATGTTTGATGTAATAATTATATAAATAAAATGAACATAATATGATTCTGGTTTGTCCACGTGGATATTATAAAACAAAAATGAGATAGATCGAACGCCAGTCTCACCTTAGTATTCATTTGATGAACACGGAGACAATTAAAAACCTTCCTTGATGAGTCACAATTATAAAAATTCTATTTGTCTAGTGATCATTAAACATGTAGGTATTCTACGAAAGATGGAGAGTGACTGTCGCAAATATCGAGACACTACCCAGACAGCACACCATGTCTAAAAGACAGCTTTAAGACGTCTTTAAGTCTAAAAGACGTCTTAAAGACGTCTTTATGACGTCTTTTAGATATGTGTGCTGTCTGGGTAGCTAAGCCGTAGGTTAAAAAACATCGAGAAAAAGAGAGTGACAGATAAATAACAATTCATGTCATAGAATCACATTTGACATAAGAACTTGCATTACCATACCGTACATCAAAGGCACTAACGAAAAGATACGTCAAAGTCTACTGAATATAGGTCTAAACACAATTTTTACCGTCCCATAAAAACTAAACAGCCTAATAAGAAAAGGCAAGGATCCTTTATGTGAAAAAAAATGGAATTAGTCTACAGACTAAACTGCAAAGACTGCAATGCATCATATGTCGGCCAGACAAAAAGACATCTGGAGACGAGAGTTAAAGAACACATCAATAATATAAAAAAGATTGATGAGAATCAGTCAGTCGTCAGTAAGCACCGCGCTATATTAGGACACGAATTCAACTGGACTCATCCAGATATCCTACACAGAGAAAAACATATCAGAAGAAGAGAAATCGCTGAAATGGTACACATAAAAATGGATTCGAACACCATTAATTCGAAGAAAGACACTGAGAATCTCAACTCTATGACTCTATTATTAATTCTATGACATGAACTGTTATTTATCTGTCACTCTCTTCTTCTCGATGTTTTTTGACCTACACGGCTTAGCTAGTCGATATTTGCGACAGTCACTCTCCATCCTTCGTAGAATACCTACATGTTTAACGATCACTAGACAAATAGAATTTTTATAATTGTGACTCATCAAGGAAGGTTTTTAATTGTCTCCGTGTCCAGCAAATGAATACTAAGGTGAGACTGGCGTTCGATCTATCTAATTTTTGATTTATAATATCCACGTGGACAAACCAGAATCATATTATGTTCATTTTATTTATACACACAGAAAAATATATACTACCTGCAAGTAAATATTATTTGTTCCAAGTATTTGATAAGTTTATATATCCGCAAATCTATCATGATGCCGTCGCAAGTGTTCTATTTACTCAAAACATATTCTGGTTCTTAGTAAGTCTAGTACTTCAAACAAGAATACATAGAATTATTTGGAGCAAAACAATTTTGTTTCTTCTGATTTTATTAAAAGAAGCATACGGAATTCTTCAATAAATTTTATAATTTTCTTCAAAGAAGAATAAATTCTTTCTTTGAGTATAAGATGGCAAGCTTTTCTAAGACTAGTAACAAGTATAGCTCAAAACTATTATTAAGAAAATATTCTTTATTGAAGCAAACAATTACTTAAACGGAATAAAATAAACTGAGTAATTACTTTTCTTGACTGTACAATAATAATTTTCTGTGTGTATAATTATTACATCAAACATACTCTATATATAATTTATTCAAATAATATTGTATTTTAGTAACGGCTTGAGAAGGACCAGAACCGAGATGGTCGAAACGTCGCCTGTATATCCCAAATTTTAAAATACATTAAACACATGCCATATAAGGTCGACTAAAATTTATTATATTTATTATCACTGGCAACCTTAAGAGATCCCCAAGATACAATTTATATTCATTCGCATTATGCCCCCCCCCTCCCTCCCTCGTCTAATTGTAAGAATAAAAACTTACACTATCGCATCCTTATGATGCTACGTATATGTGTACCGATCCCTTTTCGTTGTGACGACTCTACAACTTGTAAAACATTACTTGTCATCGAACAATATTTCTACAGGATTACCGGCGACTCGTCTATTTAATCTTTCTCTTTTCACGCGCATAGCTCTTTCCGCTATGGAAATTTTTGATATAAACTTAAATCTCTCTTAATTGGGTAATACATACCGTCTACGTGATAATAACGAATCACCACGAAACGATTATTTTTTCCGTGTCGATCTTTCGTCGTCTTACTTTTCGCACGCTGTACCGATTGTACGACGATATTGGCTGTTATAGAGAACGACAACTTCTCTGCAACTTTTAGCGGCCTACGACCGACCACTCTCCGTTTCGAGATCCACCAGAGAAATGCACTTTCTCATTCACGTAATACTTACCGGACCCCAAGTGTATTTGGACCGAGAACCCCTCCTCGAATTGTCAATGTTGAAACTCTTATATGATTTTAATGGTAATGTGTAGAATCTCCCTCCCTCCTTCCCTCCCTCCCTCCCTCCCACCCTCCCTCCTCTCTCTCTTTCGGCACTCCAATCGTTATGCAATAATAGAGAAGTAAATATTTAAAATTGCCATATACAGTTTCTTTTAGCTACGGCAGCTACATTTTTCTTTCCGTGTAGTAATTATCTAAATTTAAATTTCGACAACGTTTATTTCTAACAAGTTTACCTTTAATGAATAAATAATTTTATGTGTTTTTTATTCTTTGATTTTCCATATTTCAGCTATTATTTAACATGATAAAAAGCTGTAAGTCTGACAGTAAGGTTGTATTAGTATTTAATTTATCGTAAATTACGAAACACACGGTAAAAATTTGCATTTAAGAATTTATACGCCTTCACCGCGATCATTGTCAAGGCTGCGATCCAGATAACGTCAAATTTGGAAGCGTTATTAATACTGGTTTTAATAGAATAAAATTATGAATATAATTCTTTATCACGAACAACAAGTCTTATTTACCGTTGTGAAAAGATGCTGGATTGAGTTACACCTTTTGTATCTGGAGCTATCAATTCGTAGAAACATTTGTGTAATATATAAATTGTATGTGACTTAAGAGTTACCGTTCGGACTTGAATCATTGAAACTAAGTTTAAAAGCCTGATAGAAGCCTTCCTTTAATTTAACAGATATATATACGTAGTTTCAATCCTGTTCTCTGATATAATCCAGACAGGAACTCTTTCCAGTCTGCATGCACACGTAAACCATAATATCATTTGTATGTATTGTATATGTTTGTCTGTACTACACAAATATTTCCACGAACTAACAACTTTAGGTATAAAAGGTGTAAAAAGGTGCGACTCAGCCCAACATTCTCTTAACTTAATTTATGTACAATATAATTACAAAATTTACCTTCAGAATATTCGTTTACGTAACGACTTTCAATTTTGCCCAGAAAATCAATGTAAAAATTGGGTTAGGAATGCCTTCAAACATATACAGGGTGGGCTATTTTAATCCGTACATGGTAATATCTCCTCAGATAGGGGTGATAGCGGAAAATGCCTCAGACAAAAGTTGTTGGGTTTCGAAGGGGACATAAGATGGTGTCATTAATTTAATCTTTAATAGTTGTTTGAAGGTCACGTGAAGGTCACCTTCAATTTTTTTTAATGGAACCCCCTATTGTTTATTACACTATCTTATTCTACTAATTAACATAAACAACTTGTGTCTGAAACATTTTTAATTTACCTAATACTTTTTGAAATATTCAAGAGAAAATTTATAACTTTTTAATGTTTAGCTTGTGATATCGCGATAACTGTCGGAGAGAAAAGTAGTACAGGACTTTTTTACTTGATTTGGTCTCAGGAATATGCTGTTGCAATAGTGCTCCAATTAGTGAAAAAGTTTGTGTATGTAAATATGATACTTAACGGGGATACTTAAAATCGCGTTTCGTTAGTTCTGTGTACAGCCGACAATCCGAATCGGCGCGCAGTTCTAGCAGAAAAATTTACGCGAGGATGTCATCAGTAGTACTGTTTATTGCGATAAATATTACCACATGCCTCGGTGGTCGTATTGGTTGAGACGCCCACCTAGAGTGTAGGGAGGTCCAGGTTCAAACCCTGGCTGAGGTATTATTTTTCGCAATAAATTTCTTTAATTAGAATTTACCAGCCATGGTCCTCATGCAATTTTCTGAGTAACATCGGTTACTCAACTACTGGCGTTAAATAATTCTTTACGTTGTAAATGTTGTGTATTATACATGTATATTGCACATACAAAAAAATTTAAATAATTGGACCACTATTGCAACAGCATATTCCTGAGACTAAATCAAGGAAAAAAAGTCCTGTACTACTTTTCCCCCCGACAAACAGTTATCGAGATATCATAAGCTAAATATTAAAAAGTTCACAATGTTCTCTTGAATATCTGAAAAAGTATTAGGCAAATAATAATTTTTTTCAGACAAAAGTTGTTCATATTAATTAGTAGAATAAAATAGAGGGTTTCATTTTTAAGAAATTTAAGATGACCTTCACGTGACCTTGACAAAGCTCTTCAAGGTCATACTGGTATTACTGCGTAATGCGTCATTTAAAATATTGTAACTCTTGTCTGAAATATTTCTTTCGATTTTGCATATTTTTGGAGTTATTCAGGGCTCTCCACCTTTTTCAAACACCCTGTATATACATGAAACGGAAATTACTTATATTTTAATATCTAATGAACCTTCGTCCAACATCTGTGCGAGAAAAAAAGGTAGGGAGAGTTCGTCCGTAGTACGCATGTACTAGTTAAAATAAATTTGTAAATAACTTGTTTTTGATGACACGACGAGAATAAAACGCGCGAGAGCATTGGTCCTGAATTACATATTCACTCACATTAAATTTGTAAATATATTGACACACAGGCGCGTGTGTCAATATATTTACAAATTTAATCTACCTCATCTTTCGTCCTGCTCAAATTAATACTTTTTATTAATAGAACGGTAATTATTTAGATTAACACACCCACCTCCAATAACCTTGGGCTTGACATATGTTGTCAAGGTTAGCCTCCTGAGTAAGGATAAGAAGGAGTTAGCGGGCGCTCGTTGGTTATTAAAAAGTTATAAAGAAAAGAAGTTTCGCAAATGCTATGTAGTGCACGATATCATGTACGTATAGGATGGCCGCACGT